TTGTTAAAAAAAATCATGAGAGTTCGTTAGTTTTAAACAAAATTTAAATTCATTGAGTTAAAATGTTGATACTTCTACCTAAGAAAATATTTAAAAAAAGATGAATATAGGAAAATCGTAAGTAGAACATAAGAAAAACATATATTTAGATAATGTCTGTAATTCTCACTAGCAACACTAGTGGCATCAATAAACAGTTGTGTAATTTTGTTGTCAATTGAATGCAATTATTTATTCTGATTGCGCGAAACAGAAACCACAATGCAATTGCGGTTTTGTATTAATGCTAAATGTACATATGGGGTGTTGCACTTCGACTTTGAAATGTTGCAATTGACAAAAGCATTATATTTTTAATGTTATGTAAATACATACATGCTGTAAAGTATGAGACGAGGTAAAAAAATGGGAAGTATATATGTTAAACAAAATTTTTATACGAGTATTATTTACTGAAGTTATGTACAAATAGTACATAATGTTAAATGAAACTAATATTTTGAAGTGAAACTTCTCTAGGCGCATGAGAGAGAGTAAGATAGGGCGAACGTAGCATAAAGCAACTAGCCGTGGTGTGAGAGTAGGGAGCAAGCAAATGAGAAAGATTGAGAGAAAAAATGAGACAGAGCGAATGTCGTATAACGTTTTAGATTTATATAAATATAAACAAGATTTATACATTAGTTCGCCAAAGAAATTTCACTTCTGGCAATGTACTTTGTACGCACTCATTTTTTTTATTACTACCCGTTATTTAATTATATTAGCTAAATTACCTGACATTTCGATTATTTTACAGCGACCGTGATCACGGGCAGACGAGTTAAGCCACTCATTCTCTCGAAAATATTAGTTTCATTTAAATTAATACTTAGATGTCCTTAATTAATATATTAATGTGTTTTCTCTTTTTTCCAGATCTACAACCAAAGCACTATTTGGTACAAATCAGCGACATTCAATAAAACGTAAGTTACAAATTTCATTTACACCATTTTAATATCGTTTTTATTATTTAAATTCAATTTAACAAAAGTGTTTCTTAGATTTTATTAATGACTCAAAAACATTTAGTAATAGCATAGAATTTCACAGTACCGGTTAAATTTGTAAATAATTTTAAACATCGAAATTCTACCTCAAACAGGCTACAGGCATATTTTTAGACACTATTATATATTTTTATATTAAATCACAATATATATGTATATATTGTATATGTTCTGTGTATATGTTCTGTGAATGCGTAAACATCCAAATAAAAAATATAAAGAGGATATATAGGTATTAATTAAATTTACTCAAAGGAATTATTTAATTAATTCGTACATAGAAACGATAAATCACAAAGGGTTAGCATCGATAACACAACCTACATTGACGACAAAAGCGTTCGGGTTCTACTTAACTACAAAGTTTAGTTTGTTATGACCCACTAACTCTTACCCTCACATCCACTTGCTTGAAAGTTGAATATATTGTAAACAATTTCAAATACATCAGGTTATTAATAACAATTGATATTGCAACAGTAGATGAAACAATCTGCTTTTATACTATTCGAAACCCTTTACTAAACTAGGCCTCTTCTCAATAGAGAAATGGTGATTTCAAACTTATAATTGGAAATTATAAGTCCAAGTTTCCTCACGATTTTTTCCGTCACTGCATGCCAGTGGTATCTCAATACTCTTAGAAAGCATAAATAACCCGCAAGTTACATTGGTAGTTGCCAGGTATCGAACCTACACTCTCATGCATTAGAGGCGGGCCCTTAACCTTCAGGCCACCACCACTTACACTATTATGTGTGGGCATTATTATTATTTAGTTGATTGTAGTTTACCAAACTGACTATAGTTTTGAACATAAAACTCATAATAAGAATGTACTCCTGTATTTTTAACAGCCTATCCTCATATATCTCTTTCACCAATAAACTTTGTTAAATCTGAAATAAAGTGGAACTAACCCGTTTCAAGATTCAATTACTATTGTCAAACTAAATAACGTGAGTCTGTTAGGTACGTTCGGTTTGAAAGTTTCTCATAAATAATTCTTCTTACACAATGCATTTGCTAAACAAAGCCTTGAAATGTTAATAGTTTAAGCTGACAATGAAAACAAACTAACCATAAATTAACGAAAACCTATACTATGAAAATATTAAATAAAAAACTAATATAATTATGATTTTTAGATAGAATTCATACACATTGTATATAATAAACAGTAACATGATATTGAATATAACAAATACAAAGTTTATAAAAGCAATATATATGTGTCAATGAATTCTTTTATATAGAGATCACTCAATGTAACCGTTGTCACCAGCAGATAATTTATGGTCACCATTTATTTGCGATATTCCAGTCGTATAAAACCGACTTATCTCAGTTGACTTTGGATTTTTTTGTATGAAATAGACTGCTTTTCTTTTGTTAAAGAAATAGGTCGTATGAATCAAGATTTCAGAAAATCGTATTGAATTATACTTTATTATTTATCGTGTCACAAACATGTACAAATGAGTAGAATGTTTTTTATCGCTCAAGAATACGAAAGATTAAGCGCAGACAACGTATTATTCGCATATATCAGTGAAAACCTAATTATAACTGATTTTAACTACAAAAAAGAGCATATTCTATGTATTAATAAAGGGTCATCAATTCTTAATGAAATACGTAATATTAATGAATCAGATAAATTCAAGGTATAATGTCAGGTTTCAATGTAAATTATTATTATTCAATATAAATTAGCCTCTCATTATTAAAATTACTTTTACTGCTATAATATTTAAAATAATATTTTAAAGATATTCATCTGTATTAAGAATAATATTTCGCAAAACAAAGTAAGGGGAATTATTTGGACATATTACGCCCTTCACCGTAAAGGCCACTCCATACTGACAGCGTCACGAACAGATTGTTTATGACTGTTATTTATTTGCTATTCTGAAAAGATCGTCTGAAATATCTTACTTTGGAATCTATTGTATATTTCTATTTCATACATATACTACCGCTGAAAGAATAATTGTAATCTAAGTAATGTAATATACGTATTATGTAAATAGTATTTATATTTTACTAGTTTTTGCCCTCAACTTCGTCTGCGTTAGTTTCAGAATAAGGAATGTATAGCTAACCGGCGAAGTCTATTCTACCTTAAAGACAGTAGATAAGAAGATTTTGGATTTGATAAACTTTTTTGTTTCTTTTTCAATCGGATGAAAGTATACTATATCCTTTCCCTTGTTCTAAGTTATCTCTCCAGCAATTTCAGCCAAACCCGTACAGCCGTTCTTGAGTTATAAATAGTGTAACTAACACGACTTTTTTATATATGTACATATAAAGATTATAAGGCGTTATATATGTATATAGTATACAAATTGTTTCGTATTTTATTAAAATATTTTATAATATTGAAGTATATTATTCATATTGAAGGATTAGTTAAACCATTATCTATCAATTATTTTAATATCAAGAATCCATTAGACCGAAACGCTAACTTTGGTAATATAATTAGTTGTTCAGATCTTATCGGCAGAACGATTTTATTCTAGGATTAGAAATTAATTTGGATTTAATACTTTAAAGCTAAATAAAGAAATAATTTCCAATTTTTATGTCTTTAAATTTAATAGCCATAATCATCAGAACGCCTAAACGGTGTTTAATTTTTTTGTTTTTATATGTGTTCCGAAAATAATGACAATATTATAAGACGAAACATAGCATTCAATGTATTCACCGTTCGGGTGCAGGTCTATTGTTGTAGTGAGACAAGCTTCAACAGTGCCTGGGACTTGCGACCCAGGTGTAGGTTTAAGAGGGCCCTATATAACGCGCGTTGAACGCTCATCTCCACCTTTCAAGCTCCCCTTTCTACCCAACCAACAAAGTGCTTTGTAAATACGTCAATAGAAATTAAATGTTAATAAAACATTCTATGGATTATAAAAAGTTGAAGAGTCAACATTCAATAATATTTATGAAAAAACTATTAAAGGCTTTATCCAAATAGAAGATTTAAGTAGTGATATGAAATATATTAAGATTATAAGTTCGTTACACGTACAATGCGTTTAATTATATTAAAATATAAACCAATAATGTAAAAATCACGTGACATATAATAAAATTGCCATATTAAGAAATTATTATCTTTAAGCCGATTTCTCTTGTCTTCAATCTGAATACAATGCAATACAATACGATTGTATTCTGATCAATTCATTAACTACATATAATATATTATTAAGAATAACATTAATTAAAAAGCTATTTATTTTCATTTAGCAAAAGATTTATTTCTGTTAAAAACGGTCAATTCAATGATTGTAATCCAAACATCGTCTCCCAGACGGAGAGCAAATTGCAATTCGATCCAGCATAATTATATTCCGGACAGATTCGTGTAACGGTTAATGAGCCAGTTAATAACATTGGACCTAACAGCTTTGGGATCAAATCAACTTGGATGGTAATTTCCATTCCGTAAATAGAGTGTCTGCTAGGGATAGTTGTACTTTTTCAACTGCATTTTGTTTGAAGTGGGAATTACAAAATATACACTCATTACGCATACACATGCCCGTGCATATGTACATGCATACACACAAAACAGAAACGCACACACACGCACAAATACCATCAAACGCACACATACACACATACCATCACACACACAAAAGCCCAAGAAAAATAACGTAGTCTTCAGTTAGAATTAGTTTGAAGCTTTCTGTTTCTTTACAAACAAATTTTGCTACATCATAACGTCATATAATTATCCTCATATAATTATCATGTTAAAATTATTGCTTTAATGAAACCATATTTTAACATCACAGGATTCCTTAACTTAAATCCGCATGCATGTTGGTATATAAAAAATATGATCTCCATAACTGATATAGAAGAATTTTATATATTCAAATCATGTAGGAATAAAAAAGAGAAAAATTTTCGTATTTCTTTCTAATGTATTTTTGTTCAGATTTAGATAAAAGAAGATTACGTCGAGCTCTCACTGATAATAGGCTGGTTATAACCCAACATTTTACTGAGAGAACCGTTACACCCGGTGGCGATGTAAGTTATTTAATCATTTTCTCCATAAAACCCAAACTAAATTGTAAATATTAAAAATATAATATTTATTCAAAATATCCCACGTCAAAATCACAACATCAGTAGCAAATTGCTGCACAAAGGAAAATTCCTAGCTTGTTGCATGTAGTCATGTTTTGTTTTCATATTTTATTTATTGGAAAATGATTTCACATATGTTGAATTTTTCTGGTCATTTTTATAGAATATCTTATTGCTATCTGATTTATTATTACCTTATTTTCAGATAAGTATGCAATGTGCCGCCACTGGTGATAAACCTCCTCAGTTTGTTTGGGAGCGAGATGGAGTTACTGTTTCAAGCAACACAGATCCTAGGTATAGCATATTTCTAAGCTATTTCTTTAATCTGATTCTTTTTAGGTGTCTTTTGACTTGTCCTAAATTTCGTTCTATTTACAATATAGTTGCCCCGTATGAATCTAATTTTAAAAACTTTTAAGAAAATAACTCTTGTCAATGCTAAATATTTCAAATTTTTTGGTTATTAGATGGAAGATACTTTAGGTTTTAAAAGTTTTTTTTCTGGCGTTTAAACAAATTAATCCATGAATAATTACTTTTCATGAAAATATCATAAAGTTTTTAAATCGTTCAAAGAAATTTATCCCCAAAATTAAAACCAATTAGCTAGATAAGATCGTGCCAATCACACAGAGACCGCATGACATTCCGTTTCCAAATGCAATTCCGCGTCAGTGCTATCGTTTAAAGCTATTCCGAGTTTATATCCAGCATAAACTTTATACTTCTTTAAAACATCAAAATAAAACTCTATATATTTCGTAGTTCTCTGCAATATAAACAAATAGGTATATAATTACTTACTAGATTGTGTGACAATTAAATATTTTGACATACAAACAGGTATGCGTTAGGACAAATTATGACGACAGATAACTCTGTAATAGCCCAACTCAATATAACAAGGGTTCGAGTAGAAGATGGTGGATTATATGCTTGTATAGCGAAAGAAGGTGAACATGTAGCCAGCAGTGAGAACAGACTGGACGTTTATGGTAAATATAATCAGCTTTTCTGTATTTATATACAAAATTTAACAGAATTTCACACTTAATTTATTATTGTGTATTAGCAAACTGTGTGCCAATTAGTTGTATTATTCAGGTCCACCTTACATTCGGTCACTACCACCTATTAAGGCACAGAGTGGTGAATCAATAAATCTCAGATGTCCATTCTATGGATATCCCATAAGGTAATTATTATTAAAACTTACTAAGATGAGGCATTACTAAGAGTTTGAATGAAACTAATATTTTCGGATTACTACGAGTATTTTATTATAAATATTTAAAAATTATGTATTCCGACGTTTAGGTTACTTTGCGGCAAAAGTGATCAAGGGAGACGAGATGTTAGTTATTAATCCGAAGTTATTAGTTTCATTTAAATGAATACTCACGAAAGTATTATATCTAATTCTTACTTAAAGTTTTATGCCGTCTATTCTTTGGTAATTAATTTCTAACTGTCATTGTGACGCCGTTTAGCAATTTGAATACGTCATTTAATAACAAGATACACTCGCTTTATGCTCTTGTTTCTTTCAAACTAAACCAAAACTAATCGAAAAGTTTATTTCTTTGAACTTATGTTATGATAAAAATATATTTAAGACACATTTTATATCTATTCGATGACTTATATTTAATAAAATGAATTCTATCTCTCTCTGATTATAGCAAAATCGCTTGGGAACACAAAGGCAAAACAGTTAACCTAAACAATCTCTTTCAATCACGTTATAAAAGAACACAAAATCACCAGAAAAGAAAATCAAGAAGAAGTATTGTCAATATACAAGGAGTATTGACAATTCCTGTGAAGTAAATAAAGAAGATAATGGTGCTGTTTATACTTGTATAGTGACATCACCGTCTGGTGAAATGGCTAGACGTTCGTTTGAAATACAAGTTATAGAGGCACCTATTTTGGAGGATTTACTGCTTGGTAATAACCTATAGGAAGGTCAAATAGTAAATATTTATTGCAACGTACGAAGCGGTGATTTACCGATACATTTCGAATGGTTGAAAGACGGAAAGAGAATTTCAAGCAATTTGAAGGTATATTCGAGAATTCTGCACTTTATAATAATTGTTCTGAGAGATTTGTTTTTGTTTATGTATAGTAGATTGTAGATTTATTTATAAAAACTTTTTATATGGATTACATAATAATGCTATCAAAATTTTTGATCCATATATTTGTAACGGTTTAAAATATTAGCACTGAATTAAATGTACGCGTCAACTCAAAGGGACATTTCAATAGAATTAATTGCAATACACATCAATGCTATTGAAGTAATGGAATGAATATTTGATTAAAAGCGTATAAAGCGCTATTTACATCAAATTACTCATATAGAAATTAGTGAATTACTTGATTGTAAATGAAAATAAAATTCAACAAAGTTATGTTCAGGTAGTCGAAAGAAGTTCGGAATTATTCAGTGCACTAGTGATCAAGAAAGTTGCATTGGAACATTGTGGTACATACACTTGCGTGGCATCCAACCACGTAGCGAAGGTCAATAAGTCTACGCAATTGTATATCAAAGGTAAATTTTTCACATTGGGCTTCATTTATTACTGCTCTGCAAATTTCCAAAATAATCATTCTGCTTATTGAATTGACAAATATTACGTGTTACACACAAAGAATTTATACACAAAGAAATTAAGGCAATATAAAAGTTATATAAAAATTATGAATTTTGTAACTATTTTTCCTTGTTTCAGTTGCGCCCAAATGGCTAGAAGAACCATCAAATTCGTCTCTCTTGCTCGGAAGAAAAGGCATTGTATCATGCAGTGCGAGCGGCTATCCACAACCACAAGTACATTGGATGAAAAAAGATGGTACAAAACAACAGTAATATTTGATCTCGGTATATTAAAGTGAATTGATATATATTCCATTTTTTACCAGCTCTTCTGGGTACTTGGCAACCTGTCCTTGAACTAGCTGGAGGAGGAATCCTAAGTCTTCCCAACGGAAGTCTTGTAATTGAAGAAGTTTCTTTGACAGACGAGGGCTTGTATTCGTGTAATGTGGAAAATGGTGTTGGAACACCATTGAGCAAAACCGTCTGGATGACAGTCAATAGTATGTAATTTATATAGAGAGTAAGATTTTTATTTTCATCTGATGATTAAATTGTGCCAACGTCAATTCACTATGTCCTAATCATGAGCTACCGCAGATTCATGTATTTTTACTTTTATTTATTAGAATATTTTTGAAAACTAATTGTTTTATTTTGAATTTTGATAAGCATTTGAAATCATGAGCAACATCGCTAATTTTTCCCTATACCCTAACCTATTTACTTATTGTTTATAAGATAACGTATGTATGTATAATATTTTAGAACCAGTGCACTTTGACACGGCATCAGCTAATGTGACATCACGACTTGGCCACGCCGTCTCTTTGGAATGTCGCGCGCTTGGTGATGACCCTATCAGAATCACATGGAATCATAATGGAAACAATATAGACTTCCAAAGTCACAGGTATGTCATAATGTTCCAATTTTTGACATTAGCTTTTTATCTAAAAAAGGAAATAACTTCAGATGAAGAAGTCTAAAATAATCGAAGAATCTATAATTCAAAAATATTTCACATAAGTATGTATAAAATTAAAATCCAATATAAAATACTTTTGGTTCAATGAATTTTTAGCAGTATTAAATTTCAATAAACACTAGGTCGTAATGATAGTAGGTAGTATAAAATCTAATCATCAAAACAAATAAAAATGCTCTTTCATAAATGTACATATATCGCTCATTAATCTTCAAAGAAATCGTATCAATTAAGAGTTAAATTATCCACAGAGCAAAACACTCAGTGACGAAAACCTCGCTCGGTGTAACCAGCACCATAAATATACAGTATTCAGAAACAGCCGACGCTGGCTTCTATCAATGTAGAGCGAGCAATCCGTATGGATCAGCTAGCTTCAACACATTCCTTACTATATTAGGTAAGTTGAGTTGTTTAACTAATACTGCAATTATTTTCTTTTGGAAGTCAAGAATATCCTTGCAATTTGACACCACATGACATTGACATTGAATTCTTTCACCAATCTAATAAAACTAAGAACTTTGCACTGATATTTAAAAAAGCAGATAAAATTTAATAATTAAATAATAAAAATATTAAAAAGAATTCAACAATTTTGTAAGCTCAAAATTTTAAGCTACCCAGTAGTATGGAAATAATGTTCCCTTCATCTTTACATTACAAAAAAATCTGTTGAAGTTTCGACAATTTTAGTGCTTACCTGTTCATGAGTTAGCTATCAAAAATATCACAAATTAATAAAAACGTATACATAAATTTAATTATTACACACAGTTGGTCGTAAATAATATATATTAATATATGTTATCAACAGAACCCCCCACCCCTCCAGCCGAACTCAGAGTAGAATCAGTTAGATCTCGTACAGCATCAGTTTCATGGAGAGACGGGGCACACGCCGAGTATTACACATTACAACACACGCCCGCTCATTACGCCGATGACTGGGAATACGCCGTTAGTCTTAATATTACGAGGTAGGTGCTATACTAATATATAATGAAAGGAATATGGAATAAAAACTTGAAAATGATCGTATAAAGAATACTTGAATTATAAGTTGTATTAATGACATCTAATTAATAATGAGAAAAAAATATATATTTTATTAAAATATATTATTGTATTTAGGTATGGTAGATTGTTATCTTTACAAAAAAAATATTACCTTTTGAAGGCTTTCTGCCAAATTTCGATTATTAAATTAAGTTATAAATGTTATGATTAGTAATACTAGAAAAATAATATATATTATGTATATATAATACCTATGTATTTTTGGAAAAATATACAAGGAAAGGCAACGACATTCGTCAAACGATAGAACTACAGAATATCCGACCTGCGACGGTTTACGCGGTGCGAGTAGCAACTGGTAATGAAGTGGGTGTCAGTCGTTTTACGGCGCCTGTACATTTTACGCCTGTACATTTTACGGCGCCTGTACAATTTTTGTCCAAATCCGTACGGCCGTTCTTGAGTTATATATAGGTTAGAGGTATAATTGGGAGAGGAATAGCTCAAAAGAGAAAAGTTGATTTAATCCAAAACCTTCTTATCAACAGTCTTTATTGCAAAAATAGAGTTCGCCCGGTTTCATACATTTCTAATTCCTGAACTAACGCAGACGAAGTCGTGGGCGAAAACTAGTAAGTAATAAACAAAGAAAAATCCTCGACATGATGATGTTTTGGTGAAACAGACAGACTAACTGATATATCAAATGGAGCAAAACCGTAATTATTAAGTATATCTTTGTAATGATAAGGTAAAGATTTTTGATTTTACCTCCTTCCATAGTATCTTGAAATACTGGAATCGAAAATGGACCTGAACCGGCGCTGTTGAAAGCTGATACGGAAACAGCATATCTGAAAAATAAAACTTTAAGGTAAGTATCAGTAGACTGTTTTCATTCAGTCATTCTATTTGTCAGACATTTAGCAGTTTAAATGAGAGTTACTTCGAGATTCTGAATATTAGAGTAGTATTGACATATAATTGATTGTCTTTATCTTAATCTATAAAATGTACTCCCTTAATATTACAAATTAAAGTTCCTCCAACACCAAATAGTAAAAAATGATTAGTAATGAAAATTTCCCATCTACCTGGTATTTTTGAGTAGACCACTGATAACTGTTTCTTGTTTTCCGGATAACTTTGACAATTTCAAAGTCCTTGTATCAGTGTCTGCTAAAACTAAAAAAAAGTATTAATTTCAATAAATTTGCATTTCCAACATTGCATAATTAATGAGATCTATGATTTTCGCGAGTACTCATTTAAATGACACTAATATTTTCGGATTTTACTTCGGACTCACATCTCGTCTGCCCGTGATCACGGTTGCTGAAAAGTAGCCGAAACGTCGGGATCATCAATAAATTTATAATCAAAATAAATAGACGAAGTAAAATTCGAAAATATTAGTTTCATTTAAATTGCATAATTAAGTTGAGGAGTTCTTAGGAGGACTTACTAGATGATCCTTTTTGTGGCACAGCCTTTACATGATAGCCTGTTATCATTCCATTGTGAGTGTCTAGGCGGAGGAAGCCAGGAGACGAATAGTTCTCCAGGATTGTCGTCTTACATTACTTCTTACATTACTTCTTTAGGTATATTGCTACAATGGTTACCCTTTTAATATTTAAATAATAAATGAATACAGGAATAATGTTCATTCATTATTTAAATGAATATAGTTGTGGAATGTTCTGAATTTCTCTTACTATTATTTGTTCCCAGTTGTGGCCGGAGTCGCATCATTAGGTGGCACCATATCAGTGGGAGTCAGTTCATCCTTACTACTCGTGTGTCAATGTGTCGGAGTACCACCACCTCGCACTGTGTGGTACCACAAACATAATATAATAACACATCATCCGAGATTCACGAGGAATCATGACGACAGCTTGCTGATTAACAGTAAGTGGTGTATAGAAGATTATACAAATGGTTTTATATTTTTAGGCCCATTTATTGTTTGATAGAGTAATGACGATTAATTAATGAAGTGCCTTTGAAGTTAAAACCAAACAAAGCGAATTTTCCGTACATTTAATTCAATCTCAAACCTTCCAAAATTCCTATATTTTTTGGGATAACAACATACTTCAAAACACAACACCTTTAGGTAACTTGATTATCGCTTGTCGAACATTCTTGTATACGGAATTAAAAACTATTGTATCTACATATATTATACTTAGACTTGTATTACTTAATGGGCACCCAAAAACCTGTATTCAGTTCATGTATTTTGTAATTAATTAATATTTTTTTGTTATGATTTCCAGACATAGACCAATCCCTGAGCGGCAACTACACATGTCTTGCAAAGAATCTGTATGGTTCTGATTCAGTGGAGTACACCGTAGTAGTTCTACCGCTGCCCGAAGCACCAACACTACGAGCCACGCCATACAAAGACTCGATATTAGTTGAATGGGAACAACCTTATAATAGCATCAGTAACCGTAGCTCGAACCAGAAAATTAGTAAGTTGGTTTGTGAATACACTAGCTTTTCGCCCGCAGCTACGCCCGCGTGGAGTTCGGTATATCGCGTTTCCAAGAGAACCTTCCAAAAGTCTGGGATAAAAACTATCCTATGTTCCTTCTCAAGATCAACTCTATCTCTGTACCAAATTTCATTAAAATCAGTTTTGTGGTTTACGCGTGAAAGCGTAACAGATATACAGACAGACAGAGTTACTTTCGCATTTATAATATTACTTATTAGTAGGGATTTAAGAATCACTATAGGATAAAATAGCGATATATTCATGTCTGTGAAGTATGGAAATGAAATTAAATATGTGTTGATAAAATAATTTAAATTTTAGCATCCAACTCAATAATTGAACTTCTAAGTCTATGAAAGTACTCGTAGATATAACTGAAAAAGATTCAAAAATAAACTTGCCTCGACTATCGTACTATACGCGAAATAATAAGAATGTTAGCTGTTATTTTATCCTGTTTAATATAATAATAAAATGGACAAATAATTGACAATGATAGTCATTATCTAATCCTACATTTTTCAGCTTATAGCCTAACATGGAAAGAAGCAAGCGGTCCGTGGCAAGAAGTGTGGTCACCAAACAAAGTACCTAATAAATTATCAAACCTCTCTGGAGTTCAAAAACATGCGCTGACTGGTCTTAAATGTGGCACGAAATATTCTTTGAGGATCACAGCTACTAACAAAGTTGGTACATCACAACCAGCGTATTTGGATGTTAGCACGTTGGCCGGACGTAAGCATACTTAATACATACATGACGTCGATTTCCATATACACATATATTCTCATATTATGTATAATTTCATCAAACATTTAATCACATTACATATAATCACTCGATATTTCTTGCAAACTGTGATCATATTTTAATCATCCTTTTTTTTTGCTATAATACTAATAACCAAACAATAATAAGTCATTGGTGGCCTAGTGCTTAAAGGCCCATCTCTCGTATAGGGCACGGGTTCGATCTTGGCAAGTACCAATGTGATTTTTTTCGAGTCATATGTAGGTACTTTCCTTTAATAAGATGCCTTGCTCAGCAGTGGTCTCTGATAGGTCGAGGACGCTACATTAATATTCGTATCTTAATCTTTTAGCTCCCATCGCTCCTACGTCAACGGAGTGGTTCTGGAGCAACTGTTCCCACGTGTTCATTCAGGCCGCTGGTTGGGATGACGCGGGATGTGAGCTCCGAACGTTGGAGCTAGAACACCGGGCTCTTGGAGCGAGGAGCTGGATGAGGCCTATCAATATATTGGTAATGTAACATACTAGTATTAAAATGATTTATATAAATGACGTTTGATAGAAAACGAGCGCTCATTATAGCGATTTAATAGAAATGTGTTTTGATATAAGATTCTTAAAATTTATGGATGTACTTAGTTGTGCTTTGAATAATAAAGAATATAAGGAATATTAACTGTACAAAAACTGCAATTTATAGCAATTATTTGCCCGTGACAATGGTGTAATGCTATTTCTTTCTTTTAATAACTTGGACATTATATAACCTTTGCAATATAAATTATGGATATATAAAACTATACACCTGTGATGATATGCGTGAATAATTTTATTATAATCGTAGAAGTAGCAAATTAGTGAAGGATTAACAAAAAAAATGAATTATTTTTAAGCCAATATCTCACTTGTTTATTCATACGTGTCTGACAAAAACGTCACATATGATGGCTAATTTTAAAAATAACTTATTTCAATTAATATTTATATTTACGTTTAAACTTAATTTTTTCTTTACTCACTTTTCAATCAAATATACCATCATGACCTATACAATATTCCTACGAAACTATTTTGCCTATACACAAAACTATTTATTTATTGCCACATCTAACATATATTCCCTGCTACAACACTATATTCCCAAGGTTTCCTCGTCAGTCATACACGGGTCACCTCTACCAGTATCGAGGCTCGTTCGCTCTATCAGGCCTGTCCGCCGGCACCTGGTACGTGTTACGTATCACAGCCACCAACGAGGCGGGGAGCGTCACCACCGTTTACAACTACGCGACTAAGAACGAGGATGGCAGTGAGTTAGCAATTTAATGTGTGATATAACTGTATTATTACGTTCAGAAGAATGAATAACTTAAAAAAATACTAATTACAAACGAACAATTTAATAGTTCTTACAAATTTCTAAAGGTTTTTAGTGTGATACTAAAATACAACGATGATTGATACCTCACAGAATGTAACAATTTGATTATAAAATGACTCACGATACCGAATTTATAGAGCTCTGACTGTTACAAATGTTCACGAGCAATAAAAAGACTCGATACAAGACTACAGATCTTTATAAAAATAATTTATGGGTACTTTAGTGAATCAAAGTGAGCGTTACTTATTATATAACAATTTTCGCCCGCGTGGAGTTTGGTTATATCGCGTTTTCAAGAGAACTTTTCAAAGGTCTGGGTAAAAAACTATCCTATGTTCTTTCTCAAGGTCAACTCTATCTGTGTACCAAATTTCATTAAAATCAGTTCAGTGGCTTAGGCGTGAAAACGTAACAGACAGACAGACAGAGTTACTTTCGCATTTATAATATTAGAAGGGATTGTATAGAATAAAACATATCGTATGTTTGAGTCTAAAAATTGAAAGTCATGATTTTAGAGAGACACAAAAAATAGTTCCAAATTTTTTATTTAATGACCCTTTTTATTATTTTACAGGTGAAGTTGGTCCTCCGTCGGAAATCTTCGACATCAACATGTTGGTGATAGTCTTAAGCTCAATTCTCCTAGCCGTCTGTCTTATCTGCTGTGTTTATATTCTAGTTAAGAGGCAACGGTAAGTCTTACATGTCCAAGAATCTAACTGAATTTAAGCATTTTTAATAAAGTTTTTACTTCAAAGTAAAAAGTATATACATATAATTTCATGCACTAGCTATGAAATTAAGCGAGAAAGAAAATGTGCGCACGCACGGCTCTTTTCCTTGGCCCTACAATAATATACAACCGTAACACACTCTATCTGTCTATCTTCACTTACTTACATCTCCCTCTCACTGTCGTTCGCCTCGTTCGATCACACTTTTCGTAACCCTTTCGTAACGCATTCACCAGCTTACTCCCAAGTCAAGCGTGCGTAAAGGAGTTTTACTTTAAAACCGTAAGCAGTATGTATATCTGTATCTACAAACATGAAGTAACCAGAGCGAATAACCCAAGTAACGTATAAAGGAGTTGATAGTTTGAAACTTAATCGAATATGTTTTTCAGTAATGTCAACTTAACGGGATACCGCGACTTAATAACGGTCGACAAATCTGAAAGTGGCAACATAACAGCTAACACATCACAAAGTAACCTAGCGAATGTTAAAGAGAATTCAATGAACGCTCAGAACAGAATATACAGCGCTCCGATACATGTTAGAAATAATAGTAAACATGGTGAGTAATATTATAAATAATTAATACAAATATCATAAATATGGATTTTTTTATAAAAAGATTTGATAATAAATGTTGCATTTGTTTTTTTTTTTATATTCAATGTAAGATGTTTACTGTGGACCTATACTGATATATTAGCGTAATGAAAAAATAATATTTGTACGACCAAGTTCTAAGACGGATTTCTTTTGCAACGAAAACTCTAGAATTCAACACTTTTATTTGAAACATTCAAACGATTCTTTCTATCTCTATATTTAAGTATGTATTTTAATTATTTTGTCCTAAACTATAGCTATATTATTTCAGAGTTATACGAGATAAGTCCTTACGCGCAATTCGCTGTCGGCTTTCGAACGTTTGGTCACGCTGAAAACAGTGACGTGCCGAGACACATCAAATATACAGATACAGGTAGTGAGGACAACGAAACAAGATAAAATATAATAACAAATTAATATAATGAATGTACCACTTATTAATATTTATGAAACCAATCAATTTAAAATATACGTTACAACTACTACAGTATAATAAAATGGTTCAACAAAAAAATTCATACTTATATTTGTTAAATTTCGTATATACCATTATAAAAAAAAATACGATACGTAAAGATTAAAAACAGAACATCTCTTTTGTGAACTTTTTGCATTCAAAAAACGTAAATTAGAGTTATAATCAAAACGTCGGCATTTCTTAATGTTTCCGTCAATAGTTGAACTTGTATAAGTGGGTAAAATTCACTTTCACCATTGAACTTATTTTAGTTTTTATATATTTTTACAGAAACGAGTTTTCAAGTTTGCTCCGAGTCAGAAGACAGTGACAGCATATTAAAATCAACCCTCAAGAGCGTACCGAGAAGTAAGTTACGTCTGTATCCCTACTAATATTATAAGTAACTCTGTCTGTCTGTCTGTTACGCTTTCACGCCTAAACCACTGAACTGATTTTAAGGAAATTTGGTACAGAGATGGAGCTGACCTTGAGAAAGAACATAGGATAGTTTTTATGCCAGACTTTTGAAAGGTTCTCTTGGAAACGCGATATAACCGAAGTCCACGCGGGCGAAGCTGCGGGTGGAAAGCTAGTTATATACTAGCATATATAAAAAGTTGTGTTACTATTCATAACTAAAGAACGGTTTATTTTATTATCTCCCATATATTATCTCCCATATTTTTGCCACAACGAGACTTAACTGAAATCGAATTCTAATGTTTCTTTGTTTAATGTTCTTTGTTTTTGTTTCTAATTCAGACATGCATATACAAAAACTTTTACTTTAATATTCAAATTTCAGTAGAGGCATATTCTTGGTTACATATGATTAAATCTAGGAATAATTTTAATAACTCTTCACTTAAAATTTAGTTAAAATTTATTTATTTGACTACTTGACAAATTTAATATGGACGCGCGTAGATAAATTAAAATTATCGCATAGCTTTTGTTAATTCGTTTTGCATTTCACGCACGAGTATGTTACACTGCACCCTTTACTTTTTATCAAAAACATACTACTTTTGAGAAACGCCTAAAACTATAACTGTTTAAGAGAATAAGATGGTCGTATTTAAGACGTGTTAATTCATGCATCGGGAATGGAAATCCGAAATATGAAATATGAAATGCTATCAAAATCTTTATCATTCATAAGCAGAGTGTTGCATATTAATATAATTGTTAAATTGACGTTAGAATTTTAATTGCAATTATATAATTAAAATAAAAGTTATACAGGGTGACTGGTGAATTACTATCGATATTTGAGGACGTGATATTTGACGATCATATATGACAAAATAAAAATTAATATAACATAAATATTAATAAACTTCTAAGTAAAGTTAACCAAAAGTTATGTAATTAATTACGCATCGTATGAACACCCTACAGATTAGGTATACACTGACACTCACACATACGCATGTCGTGACGTGGTGTTGTATCAACACGTCGCCGCACGCGTCCACACTTGAACACTTGGAACGTGTCAACACTTTACTTATTTATACGGAAATTTTGTCAAAAATTAAGTGCCTATTTTTTTTACATAATTCGAATGAGAATCATATACCGAGTATGCTCCTTAAATATTGATTGTAATTCACCAGTCACCCTGTATAATAAATATAAGGATAACATATTTTCATATTATGCCAATTTTTTTAATAAGTCTTTTTTTCCAATTTATATTAATATTATAATACGGCAGAGTTTGTTTTGTGTATTTATTTGTTTGTTTGTTTGAACGCACTAACCTTAGAAAACACATATTACTTACCACTATTTCAAAAATGCTACAATTCTTGCAAAGTCCATTTATTGAGAAAGGCTATAAATTATTCATATTTTATTATTAAAATAATTTAAGTTCCGTAAAAACAAAAACTACTTTATAATGCAAGATGTGAAATAGAAAACCTAAATAGGTAAGATAGATAAATATGTATGTAACCCCAACACTTGACATTGAACAAAATAATGTATTACGAATTAGTGGGTCTCATAGAGATCAAAAAACATGTCCGCAAGAGCATTAATCATAGATTAGGCACAGCATTCGCTTTTGTATTAAAAAGAAAATATTAAATCGTATGAAGAAAGAAACTAAGTTAAATGTTTAACGTAATATTAAACCTATGCTAATTATTAAGTTATTAAGGAAATCTATGAAAAGTAATAAATATCCTTTTATTTTATTAGACTGGACTTCGTTCAGTTATCACGAGTATAAAATGCTTAGAATTGGTAATTAATAATGGATTATTTGTGAAAGTGTTTTATCCACATAGTACACCTAATATTAATCTTTAGTATTTTGACAATTGCACAAAATTCTTATTTATATCATCAAATTACTTAATTTCAATTAAGATCTTAGAATACTATCAATATTAATTAGAATAGTATCAATCTTTTATACATATAAAAATTTCGTGTCACATGTTGGTCCGCGATGGACTCCTAAACTACTAAACCGATTTTATATTTGATTTGCATTCCGAGTGCATTTTGATCCAACTTGAAAGATAGGATAGCTTACATCTCAATTTATAGTCACAATATTTTTTATTGCAAATTATTTGTCTATTAAAGAAAATTATTGGTCATTATTACAATTACCTGTTGACTGAGTTAAGTATTCAATAGATGGCGCTATGTTAAAAATACAGACGTCTTATATGAGCGACTATTTAATAATAGTGTAACCACTACGTGTTTCTGAGGCTAAGGTATAATAACCTTAATTTATTTATAAAAAAACGTAACAGATATTTCTTGATCATAGAGCGATACGAAGTTCGCCGCGTCTTCTAGTATTAATAATACAAATGAGAGAGTAACTGTCCGTTTGTCTGTTACGTTTCCATGTCTAAACCACTGAATAATTTTTGGTGAATTTTGTTACAGATATAGATGGAACCCAGGAAGACAAAGAAAGATAAAGGCAAAATTTTTTATTGATCCAGAATCAAATCCTAAACCAAACCGGATCCCAAAAACGGAACAATGAAGTGCAATTCGGGTTCAGTGTCTGTAGAGACAGAGAACAACAGTGATGTTCATGAGGACGGAGTCGTGGGAAAAAGTTAGTTAATATATAAAATAAAAGTAATACAATGACAATGTTCAAACTCTTAAATTTAAAACATTTCAGTGATTATAGTACACTATACGAGAATTCAGCTAGATAAAAATATGTGAAACTAATTCGCTTGACTTTTTTGGGACAATTAACTAGTTATTTTTTAAATTTATAAGAGTTTAGACAATGTTTGAAAATAGAATATTTTTTTTAAATTTAGAAGTAAACCAAGCCTTTTTATTTATTAATTATACACATTCTTTTAATACACAGAGATAATATTATATCTTGTTTTGTGTTCTGGACTTAAATAAGCCTGACAGACCTTTTAAATATTAGTGCTTAAGAAAAACATTTCCTTTTAAAATTTATTATCAAGAATAATATAAAAGAACTTGTTCAAAGCAGTTGATTTTTCTAATAGTTGTCTGCAAGAATTAGTTATAATTTTAAACATAACCTTATGTTTAGGTACATATGTATATATGTATATGGATCCTGGGAGTCTATTTGTTCAACAATTCATTTGATAAAAAACATATACCTCTAGAACGCATTGCTATTGCAATAGTATGCTGAAGCTGCTTTAGTTTGATGAAACTGAATAATGCATAACTTGCATATTGACTTATAAATAGACTTTATAATGCTTGTTTCCAAATTATAATATGTTATCTATATACAAAATTTTCCTCACTCATTTGAAAAAAATAATTAATGTAAATTTAGAAAAAATAACTGGATATGAAGTGCAATAAAACGATTTTTTATATGCGGTTGTCATGATTTGCAGAATTTTTGTACGTTCTAGACATTTTATGCACTTCTATAACAGCATAATAAAATCTCAAACTAAATTTTCATCAAACTTAATCAGATCTAAAGTGTTTTAAATATTTTATAAGCAAAAGTTTTAAAAATTACTGTTCAAATGAAAACCTCTTTTTATTATTATTGCTCAAATGACAATCTTATTACTTATCCTAAATTGCTACAGGAACTGTCACATGTCGATTAAATATTTAAAAGCTTTGATAATATCGGAGAGAACTATAATTGAGAATGATTTTCAATAAAAATTGGGATATTTGACTCTCAAAAGAAAATAGTATTGTAGTAGCTTCTATGATGAGGATTTCAAAAATACTGTTCTAGATTGACATCATTAATAAGAGACATTTAGAAATTTGTTTTATACTATAAAAGCTAGAAAATTGTCATTATAAATTGAATGTTATGAAAGGGTGTACTAAGGATAAGAAGTCTAAGATTATAACTCTTTTCTCGAAAACGTCTAAATTGTAAAAAGTACAGTCAAAACTCTTTTCTGCTATTCAATTATCTCTTGAGAAGATAAATGAAGGGAGATCTCACACTGTTTTCTTGTAATAAATTCTAATATTATGAAAATCATATGATTAAAATCCTAATTCACATATGTTTATAAAATTATATCATTAAAAATATCATTTTGGTTGAATAAGAATAATATTTCTTAATAATTGATTCATGTGAAATTGTAAAAATAAAGTTGAAGGCTAAATAAGTTTTAAAAATTCTAGTGTATCTTTTTTTTGGAGAATGTTACAGGTTTATATCTTAAATTTGATAAAAGGTTACGAATCATGCTGTGTCCAGATATTTTGACCTTTAGGTAATATGCTTTGGTAAATTAAAGGATTTCTAAGAATCGTAAATGTAAGACAATATCCGTATAATATTCTTATTGAATCCAATATTGTTTTTGCGTAGTCAGGTTTCTTCTCAGTAAAGCTTAGTGGGGTGAGAAACCTCAAAATGATAGGTAATGCAAATAAAAAAAGAATTTGGTAGATAGTTCATTAC